GACACGCCCCGAAAATTGTTTTAATTGCAATTACTGTTGCCACACTATTTCTGTGGCATCTCGCTTCTTGCCACTCTGGAAGAGACGTGCCCAGAGGCTTGTGTTTGAAATGAAAATGAAAATTTAATGACACTTTGATTTGCAGCTGTCAACACTTTTGGCCAAGATGCCAAATGCCGGGTGACAGGCGACTTCCGGCGCGATAAACGGCAGACAAACATGTACGATGTGATGTGATGTGTCAATTGCTCAAAAAATTGTTGTTGTGGTTCGGGCCAAGAGCCCTGGCTGGCTTAATGTTGCTGTTAATGGCAACAAGTGTCTGACAAGGGCCAACAACAGCATGAGCTTGGCAATTTGCGCCTGATTTATGGCCACCGAGGAGGAGCACGAGCTCCACGGCGTTATCTAAAGAGCATATCGATGTTCGCCGCACAGCGAAGCTGGAAATCATATCTAAAGGCTGGCCAAATCGGAAGTGGCCACCAACAGGTGTCCCTCCACTGGGCGGCTAATTTATGGCCAACATCTAGGTGCAGCATTGCAACCCGCTGGGGAAAACAAGGCAGGGGGAGAGGAGGAGAGGGGTAGAGCCAACATGCTGCAATTGATTAATGTCAGCGGTGCAAATTAAGCTGAACACACGTTGCCCCTTGACTCCGCCTTCGCCGGCTTGTCTTTTAAAAAGCCAAAGCAACAGCAACAGCAAAAGCAAAGGCAGCACACGTGTGTAAGCCACCTTGAAGTGGATCCGACCATGCAATCCGGTCGGATGTGTGCGATGCTTCATTAGCGCCGACAGTGGGGCACAAAGGAGCTGCTGCCACCTGGTGGCTCTGCGGTGACGTGAACTGTCACTGGCAGCCAGAGGAGCAGCAGGAGGAGCAGCGGGAGAAACAGCAGTGGAAACCCAGAGCAGTTGGAACCAAAAAGCCAGCAGGTGGGCCAAAAACGCTGGCCTGTCAGTCGCAGACAGCCAGGCAGCCAGGCCGTTCAGAGAAACTATTTTCCCAACTCAACTGCAACTGGCTGCCACTGGCCAGAGCCGAGGAAAAGCTGCTCCAATAATTCCTTTCGCTAACGATCTTTGTTACGGGCCCACGACTAAATGCCGCCAGAAGAATCCAAGCCGAGCCTTATCTCTAATGCACTGCGAAAAAAAGGTTCAACTAACTAACATTAATATATCAAAAAACTTATTAAACAAATAAACATGTTTTTTTTTATATTTGTGTAATAATAAAACTAGTTAAAAGGAGAAGTATTTTTTACAATCTATAAATGCAATTGAACTCATCTTATCAAGATGTTCATTCAATGTTAAATGAATTAGGCAATTAAAAAGCAATTTATGCTAATTGGCAATTGAATGTGCAACAAAATATACATTTAATTATAAGGTAGCTTTTGAGAATGCTGTTGGTTTGATAAGATCAAACATAATGTTCAAATATTCTCTTTATTATAATAGTCGTTTTTAAGATTCTAAAAGCAAACATAAACAATAAAATGTGCAAATGTCACGTTTGTGGTTGTCTCATTAAAGCAAGATATTTTTGGATCTAAATAAACAACACAAAATAAATTCCCTCCAATAGTTAAAGTTATCTATACATTTAATATGTGTTCTCTATAAAAATAGCGGCTATTATGGGAACATGAATGGACCAACTTAATTTAATTATCTATACAAATTGGCTGTGATGATTTTCTGCCCTCTTATTTAGAGGCTCCCCTTTGCGGCAGTGTTTGTGAGGGAAAATCACGATTCTTCCTGTAGATGGGGTACCAGGAATGGTCATGACAACGGAGGCCGGGCTCTTCAGCTCCTCAGCTCTTTGGCTCTTCTGGCTATCTGGCCATCTATCTGACTATGTGGCACCAGCAGATGCTGCCCCAATGCTCCAATGCTGGCGATGCTTTGAGATGTTTAGCCAGCAGACAAATAAGTTGATGTTGATTGTTTTTGCCTGACTGCGGCACGTAAACGATACTGACAGTCAGTCCATGGATCCAGGGATCCATCTGTTCGGGCGAAACTTAATTTCTACATTTTGCCGGCAGATAAAGCGCAGAGTGGGTAAACTGGTAGCTGCACAGTGGGCCTGGTCAGTTGGATTGGCAACGGGCCAATACGCACAGCACGCATCTCTTCCATTAGACGCTTTTAGAGATTGTTAAATTCCAATTAACAACTTTTTCTGTCCAGTTGGCCCGTTGCCGCCGCCGATTGCCAGGGCATCTTGGCCGGGGAGTCGCCTTTTAAGGCCAGAGCTGCAAGCTCCCTGATTCCGGATTCCCTGAGAGCGAGAACAAGTTGTTTGGGCCGACATGGGCCAAACAGCAACAGCGTTAATTGAACCCGCACACACTGGGCCATGTAAGCGTCGCATAAGTTGTGTAGTTTGTTTGTTTTCGACTGGCGAGATACTTGCTGTGTGAGTCACGTCGCCGTGTGCTTTTTTCTGCTGCATTGTAATGGTTTATGGAGTCCCATAACCATTTATTTTAATTTTTCCTGGCATTTGCCTGCGGACAGTTCGGCCTTAACAATGACGTTGGCCGTGCGATCTTAACATCGTTTGATCATCTTGCCCACTTCGCCACTGACCGCACGCTGGGTAATGAAAATTAATTGAAAAATTGATTGAAATTGTGCACTGAGCAGTTCAATCAGCGCCAGCCTTTTGTTATTGTTTAGACCTGTCCGTTTTCTTCTTTTATTTTTTTTTTTTTGGGTGGCGGGGAAAACTTGTGTGCGGCGGAAAATTGCGTTTCCAGTGTGCGGTGAACCCGAAATAGCTCATATTTGCAATTAATTTGGAAAATGCTTAATACAATAAACACTGATGATGCCCAAATCCGTATCCAACAACTACCGGTTGCATAACCATTTTGTGGAAATGGCTGGACAGCGAATTAATTTGGCAACCGCCGAAATAGGATGTATCAATCAATGGACCAAAGCCACAAATGATGGGAAATTGATAACAAATAGGGAGAATTGCAATTGGCTTATATTTGTGCAGAGATGAGAGCTTTGCCAAAAATTGTTTACATGAACTTGTACATCAAATAAATCATTTATAAATCGCTTTTATTTGACCAAAAGGTAGAGCGTGGGATGCTTGACTATTTTATATATATAAATAAAGCCATATATTTCCTATAATGCCTAAGTGCTTATGTTCACAAGCACATTTCCGAATGCTTAAGTACAGCTAAATTGTTTTGGATTGTGGTTTTTATTGGGCTAAAGAAATGCTAATGTTTTATGCGGCCTAACTAGAATTATATTTAGAATGGTATTTCGATTTGTTTATTTATTTTTATATATTATGAGGCTATCCAGACTTTTTTCATCAAGTTCAGTGAGCATAAATAGAAAAAAATTGAAGAATGGTTTTACTTTCACGTTGTTTAGCTTTTAATGCGTTTTTAATTGCCTTCTTGTGCCTGCTGCATTTACAAAGTCACAAATGAGTTGTTTATACCATTTGAATAACTTACTTGTAAAGTATTTAAAGTCATGCTGTCTTATCAGTTTGCTGTTCAACCAAAGCGACTTCAGCAAAAACTTTACTTCCTGAATTACTTGCTCGAGATAGTGATTTATACCCCTCGAGAGTCATCCATTCACTGGAAGCTCCCAAATGCACAAACTGCTGCACTCGTATATTATCTCTGGCAATATTTACTCATTAGACGCTGCATTACGCTCACGTGGACATAAACAAAGCTGCGGGGCAAAGAAAAACAAAAGCGGAATAAAGAATATACAGAATATACAGAATATAATATGCGCTAAATGCATTTTCTGGACCAAAATGCTTCTGCTCCAAGAGATAGCGATTGCCCGGAATTTGTTGTTTAAAGTAAAAGCTAATGCAAAAACCCACGCCACCTTTGGAGGGTATATAGGCCCATGTATCTTTGCCCAGTATCTATGACATCTACGCTGCAGTCCGGGCGCCACGTAAACGGCTAATGGAAAACGGCTAACAGCTAACAGCTAACAGCAAATAGCGAATTCAGCCGGTGGCAAATTGTTTGCTTTTGGTCGCCAGGCTCAACTTGTTACAGTGACAAATGACGGCAGATATATCATGATCATCGCACAATAATGATAGTGTCGCGTCGTGCTGTGAAATCATCGTCGATTTGCAGATTGCCGATGGCCGCCGACTGTGCTCCTAACAATTAAAGACATTTCGGCCGAATCGCAAGATTTATGGCTTTACAACGTGCGTCATCATGAAGCTGGAAATCAAAAATCAAACGAACTGGGAGAAATGCTGCCCCATTGATTTATGCAGCTGCTAACCGGGATTCGTTTGCCGAACAAAAGCCAATTCACACGCTAAATAGATGGGCCCAAACTAAATCCTTTGAGCGATTTCCCCCAATCACGCATTTGCATAATGGCCATGCATTGAAAGCATATCTTAAATATTTTCTTTATTCTGTAGCCCAAGTTCTTCAGACTAAAGTCACACAAAAGAATCGGAAACGCATGTTCTGCCTTTCACTTTCTCAGATTTTTCTTGACTTCTTTTTATCAGAAAATTGCAAACTACACGAGAACTTTTTAAGGGGTGCTTTAAGAAACTTTAAAAATAAATATATATTCTTTAAAAATGTAATTTGTTTTTATTTTGTGTTGGTATAGAGTAAAATTTTACCTAACTTAAAGTTGTTTTGTACTTGAAGTCGTTGCCTGTTTTAATTTGAGCTTTCTAAAGTATGTAAAATTTCCTCCGAAAAGTTTTAATTTTATTAAGGAATTTCTAGACTTGTCGTAAACTAAGTAAATTTACATATCCTTGCAGGAAACATAACAGAATGGTGCAGTAGTTTAAAATACGGCGAAGGCAGAATGTGAAAAGACAGCGTCCCTGGAAAGTGTAAGCCGGAACACAAAGGCCTCATAATTTCCGGGCCGCCAGCATGTGAGGCATGTGTGCGTTTTGAAATATTTGGCCCATTGTGAGTTGGCTTACCGTGAAGGAGGAGGCTGGCGAAAGGAATTCCTCCTAGGCAGTCCGCCGCATATCCTGCGGCAATGCAGTGCTGTGCTCCCGACTTTTCCTCGCTTTTCCTGGCTTTTCCTCCCTTTTTCTCCCTGGATTCCACTGCAGCCAAGCGCCGCCGCTCGTTGACGTTGTCAGCAGTTAATTGAATTAGTTGTTAATTTATGGCTATGTTTTCACTGGGAATTTTGCGAATGTGCGCGGGATGAGGTTGTTGTAGGTGCCTCCGACTCTTCCAAGGACTCCGCCTCCGACTCCGACTTGGGTTCTCTTTTGTGTCACCGACGGTGCGGCAGAATGGGACTTGACTTGATTAAACGCCTGCCACTTAAATTGGCATTTAAGCGACGCAATCGGGCACTCACACACCGCGGCGGAGGAGACCGATGACAATGGCTTGGTGGGAAATAATAAAAGAATAAGTAGAGCACACACACTTTTCAATGGCCGGAGCTAAAACTTTTTATTGTACACCCATTTGGGTTTAATGAGCGTTTCGCGCACTCGCTTCGAAAATGGCTTTGAAAATCGGTTTCGGTTTCGGTTTCGGAACCGGCTCGGTTGCGCGAGGAGCGTTCCGAATACGCGGCAGTTGGACGGCAACTGAAATCCGCATGCCACACGCCTCGCAGCCGGCAACCCGACAGCAACAATGTTGCCAGCGGAAATGTTGCTGTGGCTATTTCTGATGTTGCCCCGGCAACATTGCTAGCATTGCTCCTCCTTATCAGTGGACTATGGGTAAAAAAGTTGTTTGTGTTACCTATAAACTATAAATTAAGGACGGTATTAATCTATTAAAAAAATCAATGAAATCTTGTTCCATAGAAAATAATATAGATAATATATTTTTTTTTATTCTGTAGTAATGAGTTTTTATTTTCTCGCAATATAGCTTTTCCATTGTCTTTCTATTACAGTAAATTTTTCTTACAATTTGTTTTTTTATATTAACCTACATTTTACCTATAAAACTTAAGTCACTTCAAAGAATATTTTTGTGTAAAAATATTCGAATTTTGCCCACAGTGCACTGGCCTCCAAAAGGTTTCCCAAGCTTTGGAAAAGCTTCGCGCTGTGATGGCAGTCTGAAAATTGGGCACCGGGTATTATTTGTTGCCAGCAACTTGTTGCGCTGCCTCTAAAAAAGTGATAAGAAAAATTGCTTCAATAGCAATGAATTCAAATTCGGCTTATTGGACTATGCCGATAATAATAATTCTTAGTTGGCGCCGCTCATAAAACCCGAGTTTAACAATCGCAATTAATCACTTTAAAAGCAGGCAAATTCTAATTTCAACTCAGATTATCAGCAGTAAATATTTTTGAAAGGGGGAAGATGACTTTGTGTAAACACTTGTTGATAGTCTGAAATTAGAAAAGTTCCAGGTCAGCATCCTAAAACAAAGATTGGAAGTCTGGGTGTAGTCTTTGATATTTTTAGAAATGTATGGTTTCAATCTTTTAACAATCCCTTGAAAACCACCAAAGGCTTATTGAGCTTTTTGCAAGTTCACAGGATATTAAATACGAAGCTTTAAAATAAAATAAAACTAAAGTGATTCAAAAAATTCCCATAGCCACTTCTAATATGATGGATGATTTTTAACGGGCGTCGATTTTACTTTAGTTCACTTGCAGGCGTTTAGATATAGTTTAGCCAAGATTGGAATCCGATAAATATGCGAACCACTTGATAGATTGTCTCACACGCTGTTTGAACACCCAGATAGCCCGGCTTCTTGAGATAATATATTGCTTGTCTGGTAATTGTCACAGACAAATGTTGACACCACGGCTGTTCTGATAAGTCTGCAATTATCTGTAATTGATAGTGCCTGCGGTGGGAATAGAAAACGAAAGCCCCAAAAGACCCAAGCGAATCGTAGGTGCCAAATAAGTTTCCCGGTCGGATCTCTTTGATTGCTCAACGCTAATGCCAAAGCAAACAAATCGCAAGTCTTTCTTTTAAAGCTCTTTTTAATGCCAAATTCTTTGTTTAGTTTGCAATATCAAAGAATTTTTAACCGCTTAGGACACCACGTAGGTGAAAGCAAAGCCGGCTTCATTCTGCCTGTAGATGTCATCGCTGTTGAACAGAACCATCAACGGGCCGGGATTGTTGCCTGAAAAGTATTTAAATATTTAAGTAATTTTCCGTATTTGCATAATTTAAATAATAGGTTATTATAATAAAATTATTTTTAGATTGTTTAAAACAAAAATGATTAAAATTATTGCTTCTGCAATGACCTAAAATATTAGCAAGTGAACGAATGAAACAAATAATGGCCTTTTAAGTGCTCATAAATAAATATTAGTAAATAATTGTTAAATAAATAAATTACATCAAATTGTTAAGACTCAAAATCTACCAACTGATTTTCCCAGAGGAAAAAGAAAATTTGTTTGCTAGTGTTAACCGAGCTTTCCCGCCCGGAAAAGCTCTGTGAAACTTACTCGAAATGACCACATCCTTCTTGATGGAGCCACAGAAGTAGGTGGCGTGCTTGTGGCTATCTTCGAAGGTGGCCTGTGGCACCATCAGGAAATCGGCATCCAGATCATTAGTGCTATCGCTGCTATAGCAGTTCTCATCGGTCGTCAAGGTGGAGGAGGAAACCACGTCTCCCACGTTGAAGTCATAGGCGCGAATGCTGTATGGATATTAAATATATAGTTATTATAAGAAATGGTTTTGAATTTATAGAATTACTCACGTTAGTTCCTTAGTTCCTGTTTCACGACGGAAGCAGATGGCGTAGTTCATGCGGGATGGGTAAATACCATTTCCATCGTTGTAGTTGAAGGACTTGACTGCTCCCTTGGATTGGGGGAAGTACTGAAGGCAGCCAGGAGGCGCCACAAAGAAGCCATCCTTGATGGTGCTGGCACGACCCTCGATGGTGGGCAAGTTCTCCAGTTCCTCCTCCTCCTGGAGATCCAACGAGCGAACGGAGGCACCTGCAGGGCACTCCAACTGGGTGACGGTGATGTCCCAAGAGGGAGTTGGCAATCCAGTGGCTCCAGCACGATCGGCCAATCCAATAACCAGATCCACCACACTTTCGCCATCGGTGGCATTGAAGGGCACATAGATGTGCTGCCAAACCTCAGTGCCGCACAGCCTCAGTCCATCGACCTCGAAGTAATCCTTAGTGCACTCGGCGTAGGTCAAACCGGAATCTGCGCTTTCCAAAGTTGGTTGGGCCAAAGTCATGGCCCAATCAATTCGCAATTGGCAAACGTACTTGCTGTACGCCTTCAAGTGGTATTCGCACACCCTTGGTGGATTTGCGGGATTAACCAGGTTGATGTTCTTCGAGGAGGTGCTTCCTCCACAAGTTGGCTTCGCCACCGAGGCGGCTTCGATGGCCGAAATCGCCACCAGGAGGAGCAGGGTGCTTGCTATGCAGTTCTTCATCGTTATGAATCGGTAAAGTGGTCAGCCAGCGGCTTTTTATGGCCAGCCGGCAATCTCGACTGTCAACCGTATCGCTTCCAATTGTCCAGGTTTCAGTGTCAACAATAGTGATCGATTGGCTTTATCGCTACGCCGTTCCAAGGGGGCACCTGCAGTCCGACGACAGAATAGCAAACGTTTGGAGCGCTCTATAATTAGTTAATCAATGGGGGACTAATCCAATTGCTTTATCAATGGGGAAATAGGTTTGCTGGGGTCGCTGTACTTTAATACCAAAAATTCGGGGATTATTTGAGAGTCATAAATTATGCTGGCATTTATATAAAGAGAAATTATATAGAGAAAATTAAATTCTTCCGAGCTCTGACTTTATATAAAAATTAAAATTATTATATTTGTAAGCACATCCTTATCAAATTTTATCAGTGCTTGGTAATAAGTTTAGTAAGCTTACAAACATTTTTCTACTCTATTTCTAAGTTATATTTGTTATCTCGGATAAGTACTTAAAACAGTTATTCAGTTTTTATCTAAGTTTATAATTAACCTACATATTATATAGTAAGTGTTAGGAATTCCAATCCAATATTGCGCATTGACTTTTTTTAAATAATTGGCATTTATTAATTTCTTATCCCTATCAAATACAAACAAAATAATCCCAATCCCAGCAAAGCCGAGAGATAAGCATTATCTTATAGAAACTCTCATAAATAGAACCCTTTTTGTCAGTTAAATTTGCAAGATAGTGACTCACAAATCAGTGAAATATTTCCCCCAAAAATAGAACTCTTCGCTGCCGCTGCATTTATCGAAGTTGTTTCCCCACTTGGGTTGTGCAATCCTCCTATAATTGGGGTCTTGTCATTTTCACACACCCACCCATATTTGTTTCCTCTTTTCACTTTTTGACATCATCATCACCATCGATCGTCATCTTCGTTTGCGGCGATGATAATGAGATAGCCAGCCAGCCATTCTTCGCGACACCCAAAAAGCGAACAAACATAACCCAGTTTCGATGGATCTAAGATCAGAGTAATGGACACTTCGTCGAGGTTCAATGACTTGATTGATCGGTGATGGGCACACACAGTTAATAGGCGCAACTAGTTCGGTTTGAATATTCATGGCGGTAAGTGACGAACCGAGCTTCTTACCAAATATTGACACGCCGTTGCTTCTAACACGAAAATCTCATCACCGCATCGCCGGCAGCGCCGCTGTATCTTTTGGATTCTTCGGCCCAAGAAGTGCTATAAAAGCGGTGCTACCCCCAAGATCTTCACACAGTCGATGTGAAAGTGCGTGGGTGAATAGAACCCGAAGAAAACCAAACCGAGGATTATGATTGGATATACGCTGCTGCTTCTGGGATTTCTGGCCTTTGCGCAGGCGCAAAAGCTGAACGAAACAAGTGCTGGTGGTGTTGTCCTGCAGGAGCCAGGACTGTGGCGCCAGGGCAGGCGGAGGAGTGTCCTGGCGGACAGTTGTATGACCAACAGTGGCACCACCGGCACCTGCCTCACGCGCTTCAAGTGCATGCGGCAGTCGGGCACCGTCAACGGATATTGCGGCACCTACGGCGTCTGCTGTGAAAGTGAGTCAAAGAAAGTGATAAATGGAACGTCATGGAAAATCTGGGTGGATAAATAAACTATTTTTGCTTCATTCAAAGAATACGAAAATCCTTTAAATCAAATGGGATGACTCTGCTTTAAAAGACGTTAACAAGATTAGTAAACTGTTTTCTTTTGACAAACAACTTAAGCTTACGCTGTTTATGTTGTGAAAGTGATTAAATGAAAGTGATACAGAATATTTAAGATCTTTATTAATGAAATATGGTATAGAAACTATAACCTAAAATAATACCTTAAATTCATAAATTTTAAATTCAAATATTAAAACATTTAAAAGTAAAAATTAACTCTTTAGGATATTTTTGTATCCAATGGTTTTTTAATGAAATTATTTTTTTTGCATCTTAAACATAGCTTTTATTTTTTATTAAAACCAAAAAATGTGTTTCCTTAGCTAACCTTCAAGTGGGAGCATCGACGCGTCAGAAGAGGACTATTATCAAAAATCCCGGCGTGATTTCCAGTGATTTGAACACCTACACCATCGAGGCTTTTAGCAGCAATGTGCAGCAGTTGCGAATCGATTTCGAGCAGTTCGTGATGACACAGCCCACGGACACCGATGGAGTCCTCGAATGTCAGGATTACTTCGAGGCAGGAGGCTTCAAGTTGTGTGGCGTAAATGATGGCCAACACCTGTATTTGCCCTTCAATGCGGCTGCGGGTGTGGATCAGGTGACCCTGACATTTCTGGTGACCTCCAGGGGAACTGCTCCCACTTGGAGGCTGGTGGTCACCCAATTGGAGGGTCCACCTCCGAACAGCAAGCGGCGATCCAGCACCTCCGCTGGTTTGGGAACCTCCACCAATTCCCTGCAGGATCTTCGCGACATCTTTGCCACTCATCATGCAGATTATGAGCTGTTGGCTCCACCAGGTTGCCAGCAATACTTCACGGAATTAACGGGCACCATTACCAGCTTCAACTACCAGTCTTCAGTGGTCAGCAACTATATGCCCGATTTGAGCTACAATATCTGCATTAAGTCTGCAACTAGCGCCAGCATGATTGAGTGAGTAAAGTAAACATCAAATAAATAAATAATAACTAACAGCATTTTAAATAACTTCAAGGAATTGAAATTAAAACCTGATTTATTGGGTTTGTGATTTGAAGTATTAAAGCAGTACCATCCTCTATATTTTTCACATATATTTATATTTTAATAATGGTTATTCTTGCCCCCTAATAGGTACTCCTTCAGCAAGTTCTCGATGTCGGTGCAGGCTGAAACGGGCGAAGGTTACGACGAGTTCTGCCATGCCACAGTGCACACGGCTGGGAGGCAAGAGGACTACCTGATGATACCGCAGGGCATTCTGGCCAAGAACATGGCCTACCAGCCCACCTACTACTGCGGCACCAACGACAACCTGCTGGTTTACGGTGAGTATCTACTAACTGATGAGGATTTTCCAATGAGAACCGTTTAACACATGGATTTTCCATTGCAGCTTCACCTCCCTATATGATGCACTTTTCCAGCGATGAGCTGACCCTAAATCGCGATGTGGAGACGGGTTTCAGCATGACTTACCGCCTGAGGAACTCGCTCCTCTAATTCTTCCTAATTAAGTTTGCATAGTTTCTTGCCTAGAATTTAATAAACTCGAATGTGTTTAAGAGCATTGTTGGCTTTAAGCCAGTGTGTGTTTGGAATTCAGTTAATGAGCTTGTCAAATCGAGGGGATTATGACAATTTGGGAGTTGGGGGAAGGCGAGTAACACAAAATCAAACGCACTCGCAAAAAGTTGGACAAGCGCATTAAGGAGCTTGTGCGGTCAGCGACACGATTATCCTTTTAGTTGCGTAATTAGTGTGATTAAAGTCAAGAACTACGAGTGGGTGGAGGGGGGAATGCCAATACCACCTCAATGGCCAACTAATGCCCCACCAAGAGAACAGTGGCAAGCAAATAGAAATGTATAAAATGCGCCATTGGCAGCTTTGAGCGCTGGGAATCGAACCGTGGCGAAAACCTACAAACTACCGAATACCCCTTTCCCCATTTCGCCCCCTTTGGCCTTTCACTTCGACAAGGTGCTAGATTTGGAGGGCTGCTAATTGACGGCCAGCACATTCTTCCAGCGATCATGGCTCATTTAGCAGCGCCGGCTCCGGGAATCACTCTCGCCCACAGCCACTCTACCCACTCCACTCGCCAGAAGCGGTGTAAATTGTAAAATAAGCCAATCAGGCAGGCACATGCCCAATCCCAATCCCAGTGGTCAATATTGTTGATTGGTCGGGGGGAGTCGCTTTATGCCTGGATTAGCGTCTTCGCACCTGCTGTGGGCAGCCCTATTAGCCGGGCTCCGGATGAGCGGCTCCCCAACGGGCCCAGAATGCCCCGTCTTAAATGGCCGGAAGAAGCGAGTAAGTAAATACCGTGAATCTAATGATATGTGTGCTGGTGAGTAAGCCACTTGTAAAATGGTTGCCAAAACTTAACAGGTTTATGGGGTTTGATTTCAAATCAGTTGCTAGAGAATTAAAATACAAACTTTAAGAGATATGCCACTTCAAAATCTGATTAGAATTAAAAAAATTATGGAATTTGATGTAGTGAATTTTAGAGAGATTCCGAATCAAGCAGCGCTGCCGACACACGTCAAAATAGCTACTTAACTGGAATTTAAAAATATTTTATTTTACAAAACTGCAAGAAGGCTCTTGATGAGATTCGGTGGTGCCGTGGACAGAAAAACCAAAAGCAAAGCAAGAGGATCTCAAATTTTTCTTTTGCGCACTCTTCGTGTGCTAATTGGACTTTGTCTAGTGCAGACGTACAACTACAAATACTCATCTGTAGACGGTCACCATTCACTCCGCGCGCTGCCGCGCAAGAGGGGTAATGGATGGAAATCTTCATTCTAACTCTCAACCTAGCGGTAAGCAGTTTGATTATAAAAAAATGTTCCAAATAGCTGGTAAAACACCTTCGGAGATAAGGGAAGAGATCATCAGTTTACAACGCCCACTGTGCTCAAAATCTGCGAGCACTAGTACTATAACCTCAATGCTGGCTACAGCATCAGATGCGGAAATCAGCAGTGTTTGCTCTTCCGCGAGTATGGATAAAACTAATGTTTATTACTCCCAACGCTCATCTGGTAATTCATCCCCATTACCCAGAGGTGGGGCTGCAATTGTCTCTCCAACTCTTGGTGATAATTCAAAAATTTCTTCAACTCCGTTTTCTGATGCTGCTACCAAGTTGAAGCTAAGCCAAAGCCATCTGTCGTACAAGAGGAAGAAGCAACTTTCATATACTCCTTACCCTAAGAAGGTGCACAAAGAAAAGTTATCTGGATCACCCTCAGCATCAACCAGCAAGGCAAGCTCTAGTAATAGGTTTGCCTTACTAGACATGGAGGTGGACCTAGACAGTGACAGACCTGTTGAGGAAAGAAGTAATCTTTCCTTGGCAGATGCCCAAACAGATTTAAATGATGATATGGAAACAATTGTCTCAGATAATGAATTTGAACAAAATAATTCTAATGGCAAGAATAATCCCAACAATAATTTAAAACCACCACAAATTGTTCTAAGTTTTGTCAACCTTAACGATCTATTTGATGTTATTTCGGGGATCACTAGTCTAGATAACGTTATCGTTAAAGTAAATCAGGGATCTACAGCAAGAATATTTTCCAAGGACTCTAAAACTTATAGAGACATTGTTGATCATTTTGATGAAATGGAAATTGAATTCCATACGTACCAAATGAAGGAAGATAAACCACACAGAATAGTAGTTAAAGGGCTTCATCATAGCACATTAACTAGCGAAATTGTTGCCAATTTTAAAACCTTAGGTTTTGAAGCTCTTCAGGTGCATAACCCAAGATCTAGGTCTGACCCAGATGAGAAACTCAACATATTTTTTATCAATATTAAGCCATGTGCTAAAATTAATGCCATATATGATATAGTAACTCTTTGCCGCCAACGAGTGCGAATAGAAAGGATGCGTAAAAGATCTGAAATAGCTCAATGTATTCGTTGCCAAGAATTTGGACATACAGCGAAGTACTGCCGCCGGCATCCTAATTGTGCTCGCTGTGGAGAAGATCACCATACAAAGCAATGTGTTCGTCCCCAAGATCAACCGCCTACATGTATGCACTGTAGAGGGAATCATACAGCAAGCTACAAGGGTTGCCAATCTTATCAAGAATACCTTAGGCGATCGATGAGTTCAAAAAAACAATCAACGCGACAACATCCACAACAAAAACGTCAGCAACAACAGCCAATCCGAGAGCAGCAATCTCAGCAAATGCCTAACTCTTCTGCCAGCAATAATATAGGCTTATCTTATGCCTCTATTGTAAGAAATGGAATTGGTCATGCCCAGCGCCGTCTACATGATCTCCAAGCGCAGCCGCAAGTACAAAATTCGAAGAATACTCAACAACAACAATATGTGCTTGACGTTCAGTCTATATTGGAGCAACAGCAACAGCAATTTATGAAATGGCAACAACAACTTCAGCAACAGCAGCAGCAGCAATTCTTTTTGTGGTTACAACAACAGCAGCAGGAACAACAAAAGCAAAACAAACAGAACAGCCTTCGACTTGAAAGACTTGAAAATATGGTTTTCGAAATGGCCAATTCTATTAAGCAGTGGACTGGGGGCAAATCAGTGCTTCACAACAACGTTTCAGCCTCAAAATGAATACACTCAAAATCCTTATCTGGAATGTCAATGGCATTTCAGGTAAAGCCAGAGAAGTGGAATTCTTTGCGCACAACAACAACATTGATATTATACTTTTAAGTGAAATTAGGCTCAATCGAGGTGAAGTTGTCAAAATTTTCGGATATTCCTTCTATCCAGCATATAAACCTTCACGACATAATCAAGGAATGGGTGGGGCGGCGGTATTGGTAAGAAGCTCTCTCAGTCATTTCCCACAACGTATTATAGAAACGAAAAGCATTCAATTGTCTTCCATTAAAGTTGCGACCGGCTTAGGACTCGTGGATGTAAGCGCAATATACTGTCCTCCAGGCCAAAGAATTGTAGAAAGACATTTCACTGATATACTCTCTTCTTGTGGTCAGAGGTACATAGTTGGTGGTGACTGGAATGCTAGACATTGGATGTGGGGTGACACCTACAATTCACCCAGAGGCCGTGAGCTGGTTGAATCGATTTCAGCCAGAGGGTCCAAAATACTTGCCACTGGTTCACCAACGAGATACCCATATGTTCCTAGCCACACTGCTACTTGCATCGATTTTGCTTTATACCACGGAATTATGGATTCTCAAATCAATATCTGCCAAAACTGGGACTTGGAGTCTGATCACATTGCCCTTATTGTTAATCTACTAACAAATGGTTCCAATATCACCCGAAGCCCTCGGTTAATAACAAGTCGGACTGATCTCACTTCTTTCAAACAAATTCTTGATAACTCCTTTCAACTAAATTCTGCTCTGGACTCACGACAAGACATTGAGAATGCAGTTGACACTCTAACTAATAATATTTATATGGCTGCTTCTGCTTCGACGCCTTTGGAACCGGATTATCGTCCTATCAATTATGGTGTTGTTCTCACAAGGGAAGCCAAGGCGCTAATTGTAACAAAAAGGCGCCTTCGAAGAAGAGCAATTCGTTCTCAAGATCCTGAAGACCGTATTTTGTGGTACAGAGCTGCAATGCAACTTCGAACCCTTTTAAGGAGACTTCGAAGCGATTTTTTTGAGCATAAATTGTCTTCCATGGACTACACGGTGGATGCAAATTATTCACTGTGGAAATGTACAAAATCGCTTAAGCGCCAGCCCCTTAGACAGGTTCCTGTTCGGTGTCCCAGTGGTGAGCTCGCAAAAAATGAAGTGGAGCAGGCCAATGCTTTCGGTCTACATCTAGAAGAACGCTTCACTCCGTATAGCTTTGCATCGACAGTTCAGGTTAGCGAGACCCATCAAACTCTGGAGACGCCTCTGCAGATGTCGTTGCCAATAAAGCCTATAAGGATTGAAGAAATATCTGAAGTTATCCAGTCCTTACCGAAAAATAAGGCTCCAGGAATTGATAGAATTTGCAACGTAACGTTGAAGGCCTTGCCCATAAAAGCGATTCTATTTATAGCTTTAATATTTAATGCTATTATTAGGACTCAAGTGTTCCCAAAGCAATGGAAATTAGCAGCAATTCAGATGATCCACAAGCCAGGTAAGCCAGAGGCTGATCCTGAGTCTTACCGTCCGATAAGCCTCTTATCGTCCCTGTCCAAGTTGTGGGAGAGACTCATTGCCAATCGAATAGCAGTTATCATGAATCGAGACAGTATCTTGCCAGACCACCAATTTGGTTTTCGAAGAGGACACGGCACTGTGGAACAAGTGCATAGATTGGTGAAACATATTTTGCAGGCCTTTGATGACAAAGAGTATTCCAACGCAGTTTTCATTGATATGCAGCAAGCCTTCGATAAGGTGTGGCATGTTGGACTTTTGCTTAAAATCAAAAACCTCCTACCTGCCCCCTACTATGGTCTTCTGAGATCCTACCTAGAAGAACGGGAGTTCAAGGTCAGAGTTAGGGACAGATACTCTGATAACTATAGAATGAGAGCAGGAGTACCTCAGGGCAGTGTGCTT